ATATAACGCCCAAGATTTGTCATTAAATCCAAATCCAGATTCATTTCTCAAACATGCGACTGCTACACCAACTCCCCTCCCTTTCCTCTCCACCTCCCAGTAACAACGTCCAGTCAGACTCTCTCTGCTCAGTACCTGAAACCATCGAGTGAATCTGTCTGGATCATCAGATACGACTGAGGTTCATCCATTAATCTCACCTTCCTGTTTCTTTTTGAAAGTAACAGCTTTATGTGTGCTGTGTTTGGATCCAGTGTGATTTTACATGAACATCGTAAGAAGTCGGCTCTGCTCTCTGGTTCTGGTGGCCGTAGAACATCCGGCTGAGCGGCTGCCAGTGAGACTTTAGTCCAGTCCTGTGTCAGGATGTGCTGCAGTTTGTCTGTGAGCTCTGACATAGCTGCTGTCACATCCTCAAAGCAGCTCAGAGGACGCACCTTGATGCTGGAGGAGTGTGTGGTCTCCCTGAGTGCTGGCAGTGAGGGGCAGCTGGTCAGAAACTGGATGTGGTCCTCTGTGTGTGAGAGCTGCTGCAGCTCAGCGTCTTTCCTCTGCAGCTCAGTGATCTCCTGCTGCAGCTCCTGCTGAAGCTCTTTGACTCCCCTCACTGCAGTTTGCTGCTGGGATCTGACCTGCTGCTCCACATCAGAGCGTCTGTTCTGGATGAGACGGATCAGCTGAGTGAACATCTTCTCACTGTCCTTCAGTGTTTTGTCAGCAGACTGATCGATGGCCTCCACCTCCTGCTGGAGCAGATCCATATCTTGCTTTTTGTTCTGGATTCTCTGCTGGATTTGTTGCCGCCTCCCCTCCAGCTCTCTCTGCCTCTCAGTCCTTTCTGCTGCCGCTGACACTGTGTGGTGGCCTTTATGATCCTCCACAGAGCAGAGAGAACAGATGGACTTCTGATCAGTGCGGCAGAACAGCTTCTTCACCTCATCATGGACAGAGCAGATGTTCTCCTGGAGCTTCTTGGAGGGCTTCACCAGCTTGTGCTTCTTTAATGGAGGTGACTCATAATGAGGTTGAAGGTGTCTCTCACAGTAAGAGGCCACACAGACCAAACAGGACTTGATGGCTCTCAGTTTTCTCACAGAGCAGACATCACAGGACACATCTTAAGGTCCAGCATAGCAGTGGTCAGCAGGAGCAGCTTGGAGTCCAGTCTTCTTCAGCTGCTCCACTAAAGCTGCTAACATGGTGTTTCTTACCAGGACGGGCCTCGGTATGCAGTATTTCCTGCATTGAGGGCAGCTGTGAACTCCCTTCTGATCCTCTCCATCAAAGTGGGCTTTGATGCAGCTCATGCAGTAGCTGTGTCCACAGGGAATAGTCACCGAATAGTCACATCCAGGCAGATGGAGCAGGAGATGCTTTCTCTATCCAGCTGAACTCCTTTCTGAGCCATTTCTGCTGTCAGTAACTGTTAAACAGTTCAACTTTCCCCTGAACAGAAACGATCTGTGAGCTCTGAAAGACGACAGACTGACAAGCTGAGGCAGGAAATGAGATCTTCCTGTCACAAGCTTTTTTTATGAGGAGCTTGGTGTGGTGGTGGGGGGTGGAGAAGCACATACCCAACAGGAAGTCACAATTTGTTTGAGATTTTTAGGCTGTGAATAGAGCAGTATGTGCAGCCTCAGACAAATTCTGCAGACTTTCAAAATCAAATGTTTTAGGCAGGACTTTCTCCAGCAAGATCCACGGCTTACACCAGCTTCCCATTCAAATGACAACAACAGGCTTTCACCTTAGTGGGGATCATAATAGGACCTTTATGATCACAACTTTAAAACTATGTTAGAACACACTAAGTAGCTGGACTTCCTCGAATGGTCAGCTCTCCCCAACACATTGGCGGGATGAGTTACCACAATCAAAATGACAGTACTACCACATTTTTTATACTTGTTTCAGATGATTCAAGTTCTACTGAACAAGTCATGATTCAAACCATTAAACAGTCACATTGCTGGCTTCGTCTGGGGCACCTCCCCCAAAGGATTAAAAGAAGCTCATTGGAGAAGCTGAACAGTGCGGGAGGACTGGGCCTGCCTGACTTCCTGTTTTATTACTGGGCTGCCAATCTCCAAGTTGAATTACTGGATCTCATTGCATGAAAGCAAGACAGGGTCAATGTGGGCTGCTAAATCTAAACTGTTTCTATCGCTGATCTCTATCCTAAGTAGCCCCCGGCCTATTAATTCAAATCTCCAAAACCTGGGACCAGTTGTTAAAAAGTCTCTTAAGATATGAGAGACCTGATGGGTTGGAGCACCAACCCAACAGGTTTCTCCAGATGCATTACATTCCTCGAACTCGGTCAAAGTTTACTCAACTGTGGTTTCAATACAGCTGCAGCAGCTGCGGCCCTGTTCTGTTCCTGTGGCCCTAAGGAAAGATGTAATGATCACCAACCAACATATGATTAGTTAGGGGGGCCACTACCAGCGTAAGGCCTCCCTGTTACTCTTGTAAATACTTAGTCCATGGCTTATAGTTTTCCCGTTTCCATCTCGATTTTCGGCGTGTAACTTGTCACGCACGGTTTGACGGATCAGGCCCAAAATTGGCACGCACGTACGTCCTGACCAAGGGACACGTGCGCATATACAACTTTCTCATTAGTCTGGGTGTTTTCAGAAAAAAGGTGAAAAAGGGCGAAATGCCGTATCACAGGCAATTAATGGAGAGCCCGAAAAACGGGCCCAAAACAAGGCCCGCTTCCGGACCTAAATGCTCAGCCCTACTGGTATCTGGGAAACCTCATTTAAACACTGAACAGCTCACGAAAGACGGGCCTCTGCCATATTGGAGCCATGAGGCCCGATCTTTCACAGTTTGGGGTTCCTGGAGTGGGCAGTTGGTGTTTCCCCCTTAAAATTTCGTGATAAATTTGCAGTTTTCCCGTTTGTACCTAAATTTTGGTCGCTAACTAGTCCCACGCGGTTTGACGGGTCGGGACCAAAAAAGCCATGTGTGTCCAAACTGACCATGTAATGCGTGCTTGTATTTTTCTCTCTCATTAGTCCCAGCATTTTTAATAAATGGCGAAAAAGCCGAAATGCCTTCCCATAGGCAATGAATGGGAAGGCCGAAAAAGGGCCCCAAAACATAGGCCAGTTCCGGACCTAATCGCTCAGCCCCACCACTTCCGAGAAACCTCATTCGAACATTAAAGGTGTCACGAAATACGGGACTACGACATATTGGAGCCACGAGGCCCGA